AAAGTAATTATGAGTCTCGATCAATGTGATTACTTTTGCATGTGATAGAAACTTGAAATTGGAGTGCCATCCTAAGGAGGATGAATTTAAGATGACACGATTGTATAATTTGTGAATGATTAAAGATAGAAAATAGTCTGCATTTATGGAGAAGAATCATTCTGAACATTTTTAGTGGAGGGAAAAAAACTTCATAATCTACAAAAAAGTAGCTGATTGAGTACATAATTTTGAGGTACTATTAAAAATTCCCAAAGCACCATTAAGCTGGGGAACAGTGTACTTTAAATAATAGAGAAACCCAGTCCCATACTTTTGCATCTCTATGATTCTTTTCTTTTGTGGGGGTTGCTAATTTAACAGAAATTTAAGCTAATGTTAGAAGAAATATTCTGATTTGCTCATTATTCTTCCAAACTCACTTGGGAACATCTGACAAACCTTTGTGAAATTTTGCTATCTGAGAGCTGAATACATCTTACATATAAATGAAGCTGTGTAATGGTAATGTAACTCTGGAGCAGGTTATTAGAAATAATAATGTCTCTGGGGAATTAAGAAGCCCTTGGCTATGTTTTGAGAACTAGAATATCTCAAGGCCATAATGTTGCCTGGCTATGGAGGCAATCCTTTCTTGGAGGAATGTAAGTCATGTTTAAACTTCAGCTGAAATTTTCCTGTGGAAAAAAAAGTCTATGTGTTTCTCTAACTATAGAGTCCAATGATCTATAAAGTAAATTATTTTAAATTACACAAAAACTTTTTAGTAATTAGTATTTTATATTATTTTATTTTATTTTGGTACTGGGGATTGAACCCAGGGTTGCTTAACCATGGAGCCATATTTCCTGCACTTTTTTATGTTTTATTTTGAGACAGAGTCTCATTAAATCTTTAGAGTCTTTCTAAGTTACTAAGGTTGTTCTTGAAGTTGCAGTCCTACATAGCCTTCTGAGTGACTGAGATTGCCTGAGTGCACCGTGGTACCAGGTAATCCATTTTTAAAAATTATTCACAATTAAAAATCATCCCATATACAGAGATAACTTCATAATAATTGACTATATATAAATATCATAAGTATAATTTCCTAAGGAAAATCTAAAGTGTTCTCACCTAACAATCACACCCAAAAGGTTATTAGCTGAAGTAATAAAAATATTAACTAGTATGAAAATTAAAAAAAAGTGATCATAATCAGTGAAACCAAAACATGATTTCTGAGAAGATCTATGAAAATGATAAATTTCTAGCCAGATGTAGAAAAACAGAGAAAATCCAACAGTATTTGGAACAAGGAATGAATCAGAAGACATCGTAACTGATTCTAAACATATTAGAAAATTTAAAATGGATGCAAAAAATTCTGTGCCCATAACTTTGACAAATTAAATTAAGAAAATTTTTTGAAAGACACAAAATATAAAATTCACATTAGAAGAAATAAACATGCTGAATAGCCATATATTTATTAAAACTTTAACTTGTGAATCAAAACTTTTAATCAAAGAAAACTCAACTCCACGTTTTTCATTGCTAAAATTTTCCAATTGCTTTTAACAAAAATTGTTTTGATTGTTCAGCTTCTTTCTGAAAACAAGAGGAGCAGATGCTTTTAAGGTAAATTCTGAGGTCAAGACTCTCCTAATATTCAGGTCAGACTTTGACCTTACAAGAAAAACATGTTGAAGACTGTGCTTTGTATGTTTAAACAAAATACTTACCATGCTAGCAAATGAAATAGGCATATAGATTAAATTATACACATGGATTGAAACAGAAGGAGGAAAACTGCCTCTACTCATGGATTCCTTGATTCCAAATAATCTACAAAACATTCCAGAAAATGATAGTTTCAGCACAGCTCTCAAACACAAGACTGATATTCAAATCCCCATTGCATTTCCATGCAATTGCAATGAATAATCAAAATTCAAAAGAAAAAGAAAAATCAATCACACACACACACACACACACACACACACACACACAAACCATTAAAGATAGCAATTTACCACAAAAAAATCTATGTGCCCCAAACTGCACAGCTTGAATTAAATAAATCAAAAGTACCTAAATTAAAGGAGAAATACACAGTGTTGATGGAATGGAAAACACAATACTGTTAAAATATCAGTATTTTTTTCCAATTGACATACACTTGCAATGCAATTCCTATTAAAATCTAGCAAGCTTCTTTTTTGGTGACATTAACAAGCTTATACTATAAGACTTTATATGAAATGGCAAATCATCAGGAATAGCCAAAACAACATTCAAAAGGAGAACAATTTGAAGGACTCCCATTTAAGGTTTTTAGGACTTATTCTAAAGGTATAAAGAATGAGTTTAGGATTCATGATAAAATGGGCATGTATATTATTCATGATAAAATGGGTATATATATATATATATATATATATATATATATATATATATATATATCAGAATGCAGAAACAGACCCATACAAATGTAGTCAGCTGATTTTTTTCACAAAATGCAAAGGTACTTCAAAGGAGAAAGAGTAGTCTTTTCAACAAATGATCCTGGAATAATTGGAAATAAACTACAACAAATATCACTAACTTTGGGTTAGATGAAAAATATTTAGGGCTGGAGATACAGCTCTGTGCTTCTCTAGAATTCTTGAGGCACTGTGTTCAATATCGAACAATGTAAACAAAAGTATGGGTTTAGATATGATAACAATAAATAATTTATGTAAGAAACAATAAGTAATTTGCATTTAGAGAAATTTACAAAAGAGTAAAATACTTCTCACGTTTAGGTCGCAATGTTCAAATCAGAATCATGAGGATTGCATCCAGAATATATGAAGAAATGTCCACATGTGAGAATTATAAAATAATCATCTTATTAAAAAATGGTCAAGAATTTTAAACAGATCTTTACCAAGAAAGTTTGTCTGGATTACAAATCAGCATATGAAAATGTGTTCAGCATTAACAGTTATCTTGAAAACATAAAATAAATGCCAAGTGAAATACAACTACACAGACATTAGAATGGCTAAATTAAAAAAAAAAAACCAAACAAATAAAAATAAATAAACACCTGACAATAGCAAATGCTGACAAGGAGATGAATAACTGGAACTCTCATGCTTAGCTGATGAAAATTTAAAATGTTGCAAACATGTTGGAAAACAGGTTGGCCATGTTTCGTAAACTTAAACATACGCTTTCTAAATTATTTTGTGATTGTGCTTTTAGGTATTTCTTCAAAAAAAGTGAAAACTTATGTTTACACAAAATCTAAGTTGGCACTGAATGTTTAAGTTAAATTTATTCTCTTTAAACAGTTGAACATATCTTTCAACTGAAAAGGCATAAACTGTGGAGCATTTGTACGATCGTAATATTTATGAATAAAACCTATTGGACATGAGACAAGGTAAGTACACTTCAAACATATCTCACTAAATGACGGAAGAAAGAACATGAAGTTACATTGAGTGATATCATTTATATAATATTCTGCAAAAGGCATAACTGTAGAAACCAAACATGATTGGTTGCCAGGAATTGGGGTTTGGTGTTGAAGTGACTAAACATGGGTAATAGGGAATGTTTGGTTTGATTAAAATGATCTTCATTTTGAATTATGGTGGTGATTACTAGACAGTACATGCTTGTCCTATTAAAGAGAAAACAGTATACTATAAACTAAAGCCTAATGCATTTGGCAAAAGAAAAAGTGCAAAGCACTACATAAAACATGTAATTGAAAAAAATTGATGTAATTTCTCTTAGGGAGCTATTCTTTCCTTTTTACATTTTAAAATTTGTCCTAATTAGTTATACATGACAACAGAATGCATTTTGGTTGTATGTGATGTAGAGTTTACACAGGTCATGTAATTATATTGGCACATTCGGTAATAATGTCTGATTCATTCTACTATCATTCATACCCTCCCTTCCATTTGTTCTCCTCTGTCTAATCCAAAATATCTTTATTCTTTCCTAGCCACCACCTTATTGTGAATTAGTATCTACATATCAGAGAAAACATTTGGCCTTTGGTTCTTTGGGATTGGCTTATTTCAATTAGCATGATGTTCTCCAGTTCCATTCTTTTACTGGCAAATGGCATAATTTCATTCTTTTTTTAAGATGGGTAACATTCCATTGATATTTATACTATAATTTCTTTATCCATTCATTTGTTGAAGGGCAAAAAAATCACTAAATAATCACAAATTTAATATTTAAAAATTAAATATTATTCATTAGTAGATGCTAAAAAATGAAAAAAAAATGCAGTTTATAATTGAGAGTCTATAATGTAGATCTCTACATTGGCAACTTGTTTAGAACCCAATCTATAGAAAGATTATTACATAGTATACAATAAAATAAAATTATAAAATAAAATATCAAACAATCAAATAGAAAAATTAACAAAGCATGGAAATAGACATTTGAAAGAAGAGAAATCTTGAAAGGTCAATAATCATTTGAATAGATGCTTGATACAAGGGGGAAATTAAAACCCTAATTTATGTCATCTTATCAATCACATGGCAAGTTACTGCTAGCTGCCTCTAGAATCTGAGAGCTGTCTGCTTCAAGAAATTGACATCTTCATTCTGCAACCACAGGAAATGATCTGCTATAACCTGTGAGTTCTTGGAAGCAGACCTTTCTCTATTTGTGCCTCTGACATGATTGGCACCTGCATTTCAACTGGATGAGTCCCTGAAGCAAGGAAACCAATAAGACTGTAATCTAGGATGTTATGGTTTAGACATGAGTTCTCAGAGGTGAAATGATTAGATTATGAGGAGTAACCTAATATGGATTAACAGGACTGTAACTACAGGCAGATAGGGTGGTGTGTGGCTGAAGGAAGTAGGTCATTGGGGGCATGCCTTTGGGATTTATATTTTGTCACTGGTGAGTGGAGCTCTCTCTGCTTTCTGGTTACCATGTCCTAACCTCCTTTCCTCTGCTTTGCTCTTTTTCCATGACCCCAGAACTATGGTGTTAGCTGACCATGGACTAAACCTCTGAAACCGTGAGCAAAAGTAAACTTTTCCTCCTCTATGTTTTTCTTGTTAGATATTTTGATCATAGCAATGAAAAAGCTAACTGAAACACAGGAATTGTGACTTGCAGAGATTGTGAGATATTTAAATCTATGTTTAAACTAATACTTTTGTGGTAATTTGCTATCAAGGAATAGAAAACTAATATAAACTTTCTTCTCAGTTTCTTCAAATGCAAAACAGAGATCATAATTATATAAATATAAGTTAAAGGTAGGGTTTGGAAATTAAATATGCATGCATATATTGATATATTTTAAAATCATAATTTATTTTATTTTTCCAATCCGAATTTAACTTTTTAAAGTATTCATTTTTTTTTTTGATGTTGGGAATGTAAGTTCAATTTATTCAGGATTCTTTTTTAAAAATTTCTTTGGGATACCAGTTTTATATCTAATTTCTAAGAAAGTATTAGAGACCTAGAAACCTTAGGCTTTGCAGAGAGTAATCTGGTTTATGACCAGTGCATGAGATGTGCTCTTTCCCATTGAATATCACTGATGCTTTGCAATAGCATCTTTTGTAAAATAAATTTGGAAATTAGCTTTCTTTCTGAACAAATGTAACTTGGTTCTTACGTTTGCAGCCTTCTCAACAATCTGACTGTATCTGTTATTTTTTTTTTTTCTGGAGGAGAACAATTCTGAATGGTGTCTCTATGGTTTTGCACTCAACATTTTAGAGTGATATATTTTAATTTTGTTTTCTGCAGAAGGCACTGTTTAACAATTTTTCAGGCAAAAAACCCAAATGATTTAGCAGAACATTCACGATGTTTTGTTATCAGATTCCAAAAGCATCTATCCTTTATTCCACGATGGCAAAAAGCTTCTTAACAGTCAGTGCACTGGGGACTGATACGCCAATATGATCTATTTGTAAGATGCACAACACTTCTTTTTCCTCTATTTCTTTAAAAACAATAACCCTCACTTTCTCTCACCCCAATACTTACCAGCATACTGATTCACACTACATTCTCCTTGGAGATTTTTTTTTTTTAACTTAGAAAACCATTCTTACTTATAGTGTATGCCATATTCATGGTTCTAGTTATTACTGCTTTGCTTCTATAAATTGGGCAGATAAAGAAGCAATATTAAAAATTAAAATATTAGACTTTACATTCAAAATGTTTGAAATATATGTAAACCAAGTTATATTTAATTGCCATTTATTTTCTTTGAAACTATCACTTGGAAAACTACAGGAAACTACCTGTGTTTTTTTGGACTAGATGTTGAGAAAATGTCTCATGGAAAAATATGCAAATGTACTCCTTGGGTTCTCACATGTGCTTTGTATATAAGGAGGGTAGTATATTAAGACATTTATTTCTACTTCAATACATAAAAGAGAATGAACATAAAATTTCCTAATACTACGTTTCTTTTTCTCCTACCCTTGAAAAACATCTCAATCAAGCCTAGGTTTTCTAATGTTAAGGCAAAACAAGGGCATTAAACTGAGGTTATTGCCATATTTCAAGTTTCTACATAATAAACTGCAACTTAGTACATAAAATAGACTAAACCTAACTAGAAGCATAATTTTTGTATTAAATAGCTACTTTCAGCCAATCTCAAATAGCTGAACTTCAGTCAATGACAGGCAGCCATCTCATCACACCATGTCCAAATAAGGCAGATGTCTGTCTGTAGGCAATTAGGTTCCTGTCCTTGTGTGTTTGGCCTGTAACTCTCACTGCTCATGTTGCCAGGTGGGACTCTTAATATCATTGGGGTCCAAGTGTTGCCTGATTCATGAAACATTCTTTAATTAAGCCCTGTTAAATTTAATATGTCTAAAGTTTTTCTTTTAACAATAAGGTCTAGGCTTTTCTTATTGCACAAAGGAGAAATTGTGCTTTTAAAAGTCCAGATCCTATTTAAAGAAAATCTTCAGCAGGCAGAGGAATAAGCTCAATTCCATTAAAAATCAGCAAAAAAGTTCTGCGCTTCTTGTATTAAAGATTCTATGAAAGGCAAACCTCTATCCTCAGAGATGTCAAGGGTTTATAGAATACAGGGAGCAGAAAAATGTCTATCACCACGTACATCACCACATGGCAATGCTTAGGATAAATGCTAAGGCCCCTTCCTATTTACAGAGCTGACATGAATGAATCCCCTAGAATCCTGCACTACATCCAAAAAATATGGGAAGGAGGCTGAGACTGAATTAAGTCAGATGTCTTAGAATCTTTGGTGAGCAAGTGATTGCTCATATTACATTCAATTTCCTTAAGAAATTTAAAAATATGGCTATGTTTTCTTGTACACGATTTGGTTTTGTGAATCAAATTCTTGTCTACTTATATGCTAGTTGCCTGGAAATAAAGGAAAATATGTTTATAGAGAAATAAAGGTGTAAAGAAGGTGGGTATAAAGTTAAAAAAGAAAATTTCCCCTTAAGGGTTCAATGCCCAGTACCAAAAAAAAAAAAAGGATATGCAAAAATTTCCCCTGGATAAGTATTATAGGCCTCATACTCATTAGCTTGTGCTACTTAGTTATTCTATGCACAAATAAAATAAGTTCTGATTCTCCAAAAGTTTAAAAATAATTTTGTACAGTGATGTGAGACTAATGAGAAAATATTGCAAAAACTAAATACTTCTGATGGGTAAGCTTGTTATATAATAATACTCTTCAGTTCACTGCCATACTAACCTTAAGAAAATTTGAGAATTGCAACACACAAACACACATGCACAAACTCACAATTTTTATTATTCAACATTCACTAAATAGTTCTTTTAGTAGACAAATAAATGGTTGTTGGTGATGCTGTTTCAAATTCCTGTGTATATGCCTCAGTGATTTTGATGATGATTGGGAACATATTTTATTTAGGATACATTATGGTTTTCAAAGATAATCTGTACTCTATATTTAATTTGTCATAAAGATAACTTTAAAAGTTGTGTGGTTACCTCCTACATAAAATATATTGAATTTTTCTACCTAAAATAGAATAAAATTTAAATGGCAATCTTGATAGCTCAAAGTAAAATCCTAATTATATTGTTACTTTATATTCAGTACTTTAAGTAAAATATGTGAATGAAAAACTAAAGACTGAATTTGTACTTGAAATTCATGATTTTTGCATTTTGGAAATTCTTCCATTTTCCTCCTGAGGATATTTTTTCTTTGACACAGAAAATAAAATAAGGGTGGCCAGGTGCAGTGAATCTTGCCTGTAATCCCAGAGGCTCTGTAGACTGAGGCAGGAGGATCATGAGTTCAAAGCCAGCCTCAGCAAAGGTGAGGCAGCAAGCAACTCAGTGAGACCCTGTCTTTAAATAAAATACAAAATAGGGCTGGGGATGTGGCTCAGTGGTCAAATGTCCCTGAATTCAATCCCTGCTACCCCACACACTGAAAAAATATAAAATAAAATAAGTCCAGCAATGTTCTATCTGATTTTCTAGAAAGAATAAAAAAATGTTGCTAGTGGGAAGAAATTCAAGTCATCATGCAAACCATTCAAGTATTTTAAAATTAGTGTTTGGAGTATAAGTTCAAAAAGAAAAACATTAACTATAGTAAATTGAAATATTTTCCCATTTTGTATATCCACATGAGAGATTCTCTTATATTTCAAATTAAATCTGAGGATAACCAAATTTTCAGGAATCATTGGTATCACAGATATTTTGGAAGCAAATTAGGATAAGTATTTTTATTCTTTTAAAAATATAAAACTGATTGTATTTAAACTCTTCTGGAAAAACTAAAACAGGAATCAAAAATCATATAAAACATTAACAAAAGATATACAATATTTCTGTTTCTACTAGTTAGAGTTATTAGAATCTATTAATCTAGTGTAAATTTAAAACAAGCAGGCAAACAAAAATGAATGACAGATAAAAGCAATGTTTCAAGAGAATAATAAGAAATGAACATTCATACAATATAACTGAAATCATAGAAATAAAAGATAAAAGAAAAAATACAGAAACAGGAAAAAACAATTCCTTTCAAATCACTGAAATCTGACAGAAGATTATAAAAGTATTTTTAATTCACTGAAAAACATTTGCATACTTAGATTTCTAGAACCAGTGACTGTATCTGTCAAATATGGAGGTAAATGTCATGGAGATAAAGAAAGAAAAAAAAAAACAAAAGAAAAAAACACAAAAAATAAAAAACAAGGGAATTCACCATAAAGAGACCCACAACATGAAAGGAAATTATAAAGGTGTATTTTAGGTAACAGGAAATTATTCTGGTGGAAGGGTTGTGTTACAAGGAAAAATGAAGAGGAGAAAACTGAAATTACAAAGGGAAGTTAAACAATGACTAAAAAAATATCAATGTGTGTGTGTGTGTGTGTGTGTGTGTGTGTGTGTGAAATGATGGATAGTGATTTTTGATAACTTTAACTTATTCTTTCCCCACAGAAATGAGAATATGACAAGAGTGAGCTAAAGTCAAAGATTTTAAATGATACTGTGACAAAATATCCTTCAGAAGTGTTCTCTTTTAAACTTTTTTCCTAATCTTTTTGAACATTGAAAGTTTATATAATAACAGAAATAATAAAACTGATTAAGTACAAAACATCAACATTGAGAAGAAGTAATTGAGTGCAGTGCTAGAATTTTATGAGCAACTCTGTGAGAGTTTTGTTTATGGTCATTTTTACAACTTCAGATTAGTTTAGTACATAAGCATATAAAAATATGTTGTAAATGAGCAAGGTTAAGTCATCAGCATGCAAGATCTCATTACCAATCTAGCAGACTGGAGCACCTGAATTTCAGCAAAGAGCTTCATCAGAGTACACTTTCAGTAAGGGATAGATGTGATTCACTTTAAGAAAACACTGTGATGAAATATATAAATTCAAGTTGCTGATTTACATTACACCATTTTTATTTATTTTCCATTTCAGGATAATTAGTATTTAAAAGACTAGTGTCTGTTGGCAAATTTAAGCATTTCTGACAAACATTTATGTTTT